TTTGGTATATTTGAAGCATAACCTTGAAATAAATGCATTCTAGAAGTGACAATGGAGATTTCAACTACAAAAGTAAAACAAGAGTGCACATGCTGAAATTTCTAGCCTGCTTAACTACCATTGATTTTATTTTGATAGCCCTAAATATAAAGTTTTCCTACAAGTATCACATTAACTTATCATGATCCAAGAAAATGAGGTCAAGGTCAGATAAACCAAGCCAGAAATACATGTACACCTTACAATCATTCCATACAATGAATATAGTAGACCTACTGCTTATAGAATACAAGAAACAGACCAAACCATGAAAACTTTATGTTGACCAATGAGCCATGAATATGAGGTCAAAGTCAGATGAACCCTGCCAGACAGACTTGTACACTTTACAATCATTCCATGGATCAATGAAAGAACCTTAGTGAGCGTGCTCACATACCCCACGTCCCAACATTGTCATTGGAGAAATAAAATAAGTGTAAGAAAAAAAAAATTGTATCAGAAAAAAAAATTGAATCATAATTTCCTGTCAATATGCACATCTACATAGTATGTCCTTATTATCTACACAGTTTCATGAAATTCTGTTGTGTGGTTTGAGAGGAGTTGCGATGACAAAAGTTTGCAGTAGTATATTGGGCAAATAAGTTCAAAGGGGCGTAACTCCTGGAAAAAAAATTGAATCGTAATTTCCTGTCGATATGCACAATATGCACATCTACATAGTATGTCCTTATTATCTACACAGTTTCATGAAATTCTGTTGTGTGGTTTGAGAGGAGTTGCGATGACAAAAGGTTGCAGTAGTATATTGGGCAAATAAGTTCAAAGGGGCGTAACTCCTGGAAAAAAAATTGAATCGTAATTTCCTGTCGATATGCACATCTACGTAGTTTGTCCTTATTATCTGAAAAGGTTTCATGAAATTCTGTTGTGTGGTTTGAGAGGAGTTGCGATGACAAACTGTTGCAGTAGTACATTAAAGTAAATAAGTTCAAAGGGGCGCAACTCCTAGAAAAAGAATTGAATTGTAATTTCCTGTCGATATGCACAACTACATAGTATGTCCTTATTATCTAAAAAGGTTTCGTGAAATTCTGTTGTGTGGTTTGAGAGGAGTTGCGATGACAAGAAACAGGACTGACGGACGGACAGGTCAAAAACATTATATCCTCCGCAACTCGTTGCGTGGGGTATAAATATAGTATTGAAGAAACAAACTTAACCATGAAAACTTATCATTGACCAATTAACCATGAAAATGAGGTCAAGGTCAGATGATACCTGCCAGACAGATATATAAACATTACAATCATTCCATACACCAAACATAGTTGACCTATTGCTTATAGTTTAAAAAAAACAGACCAAAATACAAAAACTTAACATTGAGCAATGAACCGTGAAAATGAGGTCAAGGTCAAATAAAACCTGCCAGACTGACAGGTACATCATAAAATATTTCCATACGCCAAATGTAGCTGATCTATTGCATACAGTATTAGAAAAATAGATCAAAACACAAAAACTTAACTTTAACCACTGAACCATGAAAATGAGGTCAAGGAGGAATGACACCTGCCAATTGGACATGTACACCTTACAATCATTAAATACACTAAATATAGTAAAGCTATTGCTTATAGTATCTGAGATATGGACTTGACCACGAAAACTTAATCTTGTTCATGATCCATGAAATGAGGTCAAGGTCAAGTGAAAACTGTCCGACAGACATGAGGACTTTGCAAGGTATGCACATACCAAATATAGTTATTCTATTACTCATAAGAGAATTACAAAAAAAACTTCTTTTTTTCAAGTAGTCACTGAACAATGAAAATGAGGTCAAAGTCTTCTACCTTCTGAAATATTAAGCTTTTAAGTAGTTAGTTAACACGGCCTGATCACTATCCCTATGTCAAGCTTTTTGCGACAAAAATCGCAGGCTCGACAAAAATCAAGTCTGAGATAAGTCAATTTCAATTTGGTCAAAACACAAAAATTTGATTAATATATGAAAAATAAAGTAATTTTCGTTGTTTTTTTTTGTGAAAAGATACACTATACACTACTTAAGTTTCCACAAATTTGGCAACATTATTTTTTTTGGGGGAAGGGGTTGTTATGTAGCATTGTCATAAATTTCAACTTTAATGGAACCTTTTAAGACATTATGTTACATAAATGTGGATAGTGTCCACATGTGGACACAGATGATGCCCCCGCTTGCATATCATATAGTTATAAAGGGACATAACTGAAGAACGGTAAAAGTGACGCTACCCAAATTTGAACTTGATCTGAGTTTTGTGGTTATAAGCATTGTGAGTAAGTCTCATAACATTTGGTTGAGGCTAACTTAAGTAGAGAACAGAAACTAAAAATTCAGCAATTTTTCTATTTGTAAACATGCATAACTCTAGAACGGTTGTGTATAAGTTTTATAACATATGGTTGAGACAAACTAAAGTTAGAGAACGGAAACAAAAAATTCAGCAATTTTTATGTTTATAAATGGACATAACTCAAGAATGGTAAAAGTGTCGCCACCAAATTTTGTACCGTACTTAATCTGTATTATGTAGTAATAAGCATTGTGTATAAGTTTCATAACATTTGGTTGAGGCAAACTAAAGTTAGAAAACGGAAACAAAAAAATTGTACTTGATCTTAGTTTTGTGGTAATGAATATTCTGTAAAGGTTTCATAATGTTTGGTTTGGGCAAACTTAAGTTACAGAATGGAAACTAAAAATTTTGAAATCTTTCGATTTATAAAGGGGCATAACTCAATAATGGTTAAAGTCACACTACCCAAATTCAACTTGATCTGTGTTTTATCAGTGGAAGTCAAAATTAAACATTGCATTGTATAAAGCATTGATTGTAGTTGATTCAACTATAATCATTGACAAAGGAAGATAACTCCAATTTTAAAAATTACTTGATATTTAGAAGAAAATAAAAATGTTTGCAATTTTTCCATTTATAAAGGGGCATAACTCTAGAACGGTTAAAGTGACGCCACGAAAATTCAAACTTGATCTGTGTTTTGTGGTAATAAGCATTGTGTATAAGTGTCATAACATTTGGTTGAGGCAAACTCAAGTTAAGAGAACGGAAACCAATTTTGGGACGTATGTACAGACGGACAAGGGTAAAACTTAATGCCCCCACCGCTACGGCGGGGGCATAAAAATATGAAAATGTACCATTACCAATAATGGTACTTGTTACAAGTTTGAACAAGAAATGAACTAAATCAAATTTTAGGATTATTTAATGCATCATAATACTACATTAAAATAGAAAACATTGATCCATCTTCCATGTCTGGATATATCTTTGAAAACATAATGACATAATTAACCAAAACAGAGGCTCCCATGAGCCTGAGTCACTGACATTTTCAAATTTGTACCCAATGAATGTTCTGTTTTCAGTCATGGCTGCCATGTTGATTAAGAGAACAAAACATAAGAAACAAATTAATAATAACATTACACAAAAATATAATATGCCCATCTACATACTATGCACAAGAACTGTGCAAAATTTCAAAGGCACCTAACTATACTGTTGAAGGTTTTTGTTTATGTATCAAAATTTGGAATTGTTAAACAAAAACCAAGTTTTTTTTTCTAAAATAAATTTGCCAATTTTCAACCAAAAATCAAATGCACATTTACATATTTGCAAGATGACTGTGGAACGTTTTATTGGTGTACTATCCATACTTTAGAGTTTGAGTTTACAAAAAAAGTTGAGGGACAAACTCAAAAATTGTGACAAATTTGATGAAGGTAAAAATAGGTAGATCTCCAACATTCTTAGCATATTTATCTCTGTCAGCCTCTTTCTTTTACGGTTGTCAAATTATTGGCAAATACCATTAATATGTATTTTGCTTTTCTACTTTTAGTAATGGCAGCCATAACATTTCATTGGCAAGACAACATGGAACAAATCTTAAACTAAACATTTTAAAGATTATTGTGACCAATCTAGGTTTCAATTGGCCTGGTGGTTTCAGAGAAAAATATTTTAATGTTAACAGATGATAGACAGACACCAAGCAATGAGAAAAGCTCCCATTAGGTAAGCTAAAATACTTAATACATCTGTATTGTCAGACCACTACAGTAAATAATCATTCAACTTAGATACATGAGAATATATCTTTCACTTATCACAATTAATCCTTATGACTAGATGCACACAATAATAAGCAATTAAGTTGTTAAACATGTATAAAAATGAATCAGCCTAACTAATTTAGCAATGTCTTATTAAAATTCTAAAAAACAATTAAATAGGGAACAACACTATTTCTAACTAATGAGTAGAATAATCTATGTTTTCAAAATTTGGCTCATTTGGCATATGTTTAATCTATTAAATGAAACAAAAAAGTTGACTTTTTACCCAAGATGCATATAAAATACGACTAAAAGATGTCAACGAGACAGCAGTCCAACAACATTTAAGCCCACACAACATCTACAGGTCAACAGTCGGTCATCATTAATAAACAATTTGTCCAACTCTACATCCCCTCAAGTAAAAAATTGGGGTCAAAACTCTAATTTGGCATTAGAAAAATTAGAAAGATCATATCATAGGGAACATGTGTACTAAGTTTCAAGTTGATTGGACTTTAACTTCATCAAAAACTACAACCTGAAGCGGGGGAGACAGATGAACAAAAGAACAAACAGATGCAGAGACCAAAAAACATAATGCCCCTAGGTGGGGCATAAAAATTTGGTAACCCAGGTAATAGCTTAGACATAAAACTAAACCAAGGTCAATGAAGTTTGAAATGTAGGTAATAGAGACTTAATATTGCATGGATGCTGTTCTACTTCCCAAAATGCATATTCATACAAATTAAGAAGATCCTATTACATGTACTTATAATTAAGAGGTACAATGTTTAAAGTAGGATGTTAAACTTAAACAAAGTCAACGAAGCTTGAAATGTAGGTCACTATGCTGATCTACTAAAAAAAATGCACATTTACATAAGTTTAAATAATAAATTTAAAGTTGCAGATATGGCTTTCCAACATAAATCTTATCCAACATCAACATGGATGTTAACCTTCCAAAGGTCATTTAACCATGAATACAGGTCAAATGACCTTCTTGCAAGACAAAGCTGGATACAATAGATGTACCTACAAACAAGGTTACAAGATTATTGATCCTCTAGTTACTGAGATATGGATATACACATGCAAACCAAGGTTACACAAATGGATCTTCCTCAACTTCTGCAAATAACACTACATTTAATACTAATTCTAAATAAAAATGGCAACAATCTCATTAAAGTCAAATCTTTCACTTTGTTTCATTAGATTTGTTTGTCATTCATGAGAGATTTGAAAACATCCAATAAGGGGTCAGACCCCTAATCACATAGTACCCTACAAAAGTTTTGGTAATGTTTACAATAGACTATAAAAAAAAGATCCCGTAAATTACAAAAGAATTTTGAATATTGTACAGAAATAAGATGTTTTAAACTAAATATTTTTTGAATTGGTTCCAGTTTAATGCACTGACCTCATTCATTCATCAACATAGCAAAGCATTTAAGTTTCATCATTTTATTCCTGTTTAATTTATTTTATAAACTGAAGTTGATAAAACATTTAATCATTAAAAAGGCAAAAATGAGTTAATCTAAGTTTGTGGGAAATTTTGTGACAGTGTGTCACTTGAAATAATTTTCTGATTAAAAAATTGCATAAAAGATCATCAAACACAACCCCTTACCGGAAATTTTTAGATCTTAAATGAGCTACAAACATTTTTATCTGAGCAAATTGAAAGATCTAATTTTAATCAGACTGAAATAGCAAACAAGTACATATTTAATACTGATTCTAAATAAAAATATTAAACAACTTCATATGTAACACTAATTCTAAATAATGCAATAACAAGTTAATAATACAATACACATACACAGTCATTTTAAATCCTGGAAGTATTCCCATAAGGATTCTGTAACCTCACTTGTTGTATGTATGTAAAGTTATATCAATGCACATTATAATATATACAAAATAATTCCAAAAATCAGTTGCATGCCAGTACTGGTCTTAGAATCAAATTGTTGGCTTTTAAAAAATAAAACTACAATATGACTTTAAAAAAAAGAATAAAATTCATACTTAATTTCCCAGTGCATAAGCCATGATGGCTATGTTTTATATTTCACTGTTATTTTCTTCTTCAAAATTTGAATGAAAACATTTTATGTACTATGCTAAGGTATGATTTTTATTGTCTTTTAAAAAAATCAGAAATGAAGCCTAAGAAATACAAAGTTTATAAACATCCTACTTGACAGTGTTCAACAGGAAACAAATGTCAATGGCAAGGAAGTAAATTTCTGTTTCCCCATCAGGATTGTGGAAAATAAAACACAAGAAATCTATGATTGTAAAATTCGGCATTTGGCTTTTACCATATACTTGTTATAATGGTTGTCAACAGTTATGGCACTGAAATTGGATTCCCAGTGCGATAGGGAGTAAAATGTACATCTAGTGTATGAGAAATGAACTCCTGAGGTCAACCAAATATAAATCAATAGAAAATGTTAATAAAGGACAGTGAGTTACTTTTTGTTGGAGGTTGTAAGCCTATCTTTAATGCATTCAATGATGCTTTCAGTAAGTAACATGATTAAAAGTTATAAACAAAATTACCTAAAGTAAAACTTAAAATAGGTCAATGAGGCATACAATGTAGGTCAAACTGTCAGATTTGGTTTTTTTATATAGAGGTAAAATGAATTATCCAAAGCACCAAATCACAATTATTTTCCTCATGGATCAATTAGTGATTTGAAGGAGGTCCTTTACAGAACTTTCAATATCTAAATATGTTTTTCACACCCAAAAGATGCTGCAATGGCTATCATTGAATTTAAAAAAAAAAAAGAGAGACTAAAATCAGTTAAAAAAAAAACCAGGTTCATTCCACTAAAAATTAAGAGGTTGTGTGTCCATTATGTCCATATGCAGACTGACACCAAGTACTCCATAATGATATCTTATATATTAGGGTTTTTCTTTATTTTTATAACACAATGAGAAAAAGATTCAAACAGCAGATAATTTGAGAATGCATTAAAGAAATTGTATAGTATAAGAAATTGTCTTTAACAATTTGGAAATAATCAAACTAAATATTCAACCAATGCTTTTTCACAAAAATGTATTCAAAGAAAACTGACTCTGTTAGTATAAATAGGTTAAGTTTACCATTTCACAATCAAACATGATATAAAAAAATACAGAGGCATACAAGTTTTTTTTTATATACATTTGTATAATGGTATATTAAAGCTTAAAAATTGTGCTAAAAAATCAAAATACCAATGAAAAGGGGATTTCTTACAAATAAAAAAAATGTCTTTAATTTTTTCTAGTAGAATTACAGAAAATATCCAATATAACCCATTTATGACCGAGGAATCAAAACTTAAGGATCAGAGGAGCTTGTACTTTTTGTTTGGCATTTAAAAAAAACCATGACGCTGCTGTGGCAATAAAATTGGTCCCTAAAAATCAGAAACATCCTTTTCAATTAAATTAATAAAATATTGGGCTTGGAACCCAAGCCCCTGTCTGAACAAGCTGGTGTTTTATGCAGGTAAAAACCCAACAAAAGTTAAAAAGTATGAAATTAAATATTTAATTTACATGATGTAATTGCATCCTTAATTTCTGAAATATCATACGAGTATTGAAGTTTAACCCTTTGCAGGAATGAATTCCACAAAAAGAGAAGACAGTTTGCAGGGACATATGCTGATAATGCATAAAAAACAGTATAGAGATAAAAATGATAAAGGGTACCTGACAAACCATTTATTTGGCTGAGATTCTGTATAAAAAATAAAGTTGACCCCTCATTTAATTTAACTGAGAAACTAATCTGACAAAAAAAAAGACAAAAACCTGAACACAGACTAAATTGAATCGAGAAAATGAGGATAAGGACAAGTGACGTCGATCAGAAAAATTTCTTTATCATAAGCCATCTATGTGCACAATGTAAAACATCAAGCTATTCTACATTAAAAACTACAATAAAGCGATTTACAATCACATAGAAAATGCATCCCCATCTCATATTCTGTTAATGGTCCAACAAAATTCAGCTGAAGTTTAACCCAGATTGACAAAAGAAACACCTTCAGGCCTTTTTGCCTGTTTGATTTGTATTTTAGTAAATGCAGCTTTTATGATTGATCAGCTATTCCACTGGACAGAATTTTAAAACTAAGTAACCTATTACAGGATCCCGGATGACAGTGGCCTAGCTTGCTTTCAGTTGATACTGCAGTCAAGATAAGTATTTTTATTTCAAATTTCCACAGCAATAAAGGTATAGAGACAACCTGTGAGGATATATAAAAAAACATGCAAAAAATGTCATGCAATATATTACACATGATAATCATAATACTGTAAATAATTTTTTGAAAAGTACAAAAATAAACATGATAAAAATGACAAAAATAACCAAACAAGTTTCTGAACAGTAAAACATAAGCATATCAGCACTATAACTTTTGTCTGATAAGAACTAAAAACTCATAAAGCACTATATCTTCTATATCTTTTGTCTGATGAAGAACTAAAAACTTGTATCATATTAAAACTTTCAAAAGTTCATAAAAAAAACTATATTTTTCAACAAGTGACAGCGTATTCTACTGTTTGCTGTGAATTATTCAATCATCTGTCATAACTGTCAACTCATTCCTTAAAATATGATCAACAGTTAAAAAAGATCACTTTAAACATTCATATCTCCTGGTAAGACACTTAGTGATCTCTTCAGCAATAACTTTCCATGCTTTTCCATGTTTATCAGCATTCACCCTATCAGGGTGAAAATGCACTATGGCTTTTTGTAGAATTTTTTTTAATAGTGAAGATTCTAAATGTATTCCTTTCTTGCGTGGGATACCGAGCAATTTGTGTTCTGGATTTTTTGGTGGAAAACATCTATATACAAATTTCAGAAAGTCTTCTGAGTCTTTCTTGTCATTTCTTTCAATATCCTTCATTTCTTTTGAAAGTTCCTTCATTAGTTCTTCTTTTTCTTTCTGCCATTTGCTATCTTCTTCTTGAACAGTTTCTTTCTGGTAGCGTTCTAATGTGTCACTACATTCCATAAACCAGTCTGAAAAATAAATTCTTGTACTACAATGTTCTCAACTCCCATCAGATGACAGGGTTTAGAAATCATTTGAAAAATGAAAACAAAGATTATTATATAGACAAAAAGAGTAGCAGGGGCAAACTAAATTTTGGGTTGGGCTTCTAAATTTTAGCTGAAAAAATCTATGTGATTATGTTTATCTTTCATTTTGTGGCTGATTGGGGCCCCTAGATGGAAAATGTAAGTCCCCCCCCCCCCAACAACATATTTGAAAATTGAAAGATTTACCTATTATTAAGGGACATAACTTCAGAAAAACATATGTGAAATGTGTCACATTCTGATTCCCATTCTAACTTCCTGAAATGTGTCAAATTCAAACCTTGAACTGTGTTCAGCAGTTTCTAGTAATGTGCTAAAATGGTAAATGATCTTGTTCAAGCATATCTAAACTTTTATCCCATAAAGAAATAACTTGTGGCAATGTGATACCTATTCATTTTCATAAAGTGTTTTCTTTAGAAACTTTATCAATATAAAAATTCTTAAACTCAAGAACAAAATATTATGTCACCCGATCGACAATGTCAGGTGACATATTCCTTTTCCCTATAATTAATATTTTTCTTCCACCTAATTTTGTCCGGCAGTTTTCTCTGAGGCAATGGAACCAATCTTCATGATTGTTGAGCATAATGAGGACCACCATCAGTGGAGTTGCAGTGAAACTTTGGAACTTTAAAATGGCCACTGTTTCCATGGAAACAGCAAAAATGTGAAAAATATTTTTTTTGTTTTTGATGACTAATTTGAGAATGCCTGAACTAAAAATCTTCAAATGTTTATACAACATAAGTATCCACTATATACAGGTTTTGGATGATTTTGAGAATCATTGGAACTACTGTATTGCCATGGAAACTGGGGAAAGGTTTCCCATTATAACCCTATGGGAAAAACCTTAAAGTAGCATTCTCTATCTTAAAATGGTAGGTCAAATCCATTGAAACTTTGATAGTATGTTCCCTCTAATGTACCAATATGGCATCTGTCATTACAATTTTGGGAATGGTCTTTGTTACCATGGAAACCAGCAAGAATGTCAAAAATTTCCAAAACTAAACGAGACTTACCTTGGTAAAAGTTGAAGTTCAGTTGGAATTTAACGTAGTCATCTTTAGTTGTAGGGATCAGATGAGATGTTCGTGCGCATGTGTAGCTTCAGTCTTCAAAGTCGAAGGGTTTGTGCATACAAAAGTACTAAGTACAACATCACAAAAAAGGGGAGGGATATCGGGAGGGCATCTGATCCCTACAACTAAAGATGACTACGTTAAATTCCAACTGAACTTCAACTTTTACCAAGGTAAGTCTCGTTTAGTTTTGGAATTTAACTACGTCATCCCGTTTCCGGGACCAGATGAGACTTCAAAGAGCACAAGCCCTGAGATAAGTCAAAAAGTAATATTTAAAAACCTCCAAAAAATATATCCCTCCTATATACAAAGTTAATTTTACAAATAAAGTTCTATGTACTCAGAACAGCTCTCTGAAAACGTTGTGCATCTGACTAGATCGGCTTCTTATAAAATTTAGCAAAAGTCTTTTCACTGGTCCAACCAGCTCTTCGTAAAATACATTCCACAGGAATCAGATTATGGAAAGCCTTAGAAACAACAGCTGACCTCGTGCTATGTGAAGAATATGATTTTAAATTTATTCCTGATTTGGACATAACAGTTTTGACCCATCTGCTAATTGTTTCTCTTGAGACTGGTTTAAACGGTTTTACATAACTTATAAAAAGCTTCTGACTATTACCGCGAGCTTTAGCTGTCCTCATCAAATATTCTTTTAAAACAGTAAAAACACACAATCTCCTATCTGGAGGATAGGCAAAAAGTTCAACAAAATGTACATTAAACCCAGGTCTATTCTGTTTCAATAAACCTGAATAAAACAAGGTATAACTATCCTTTCCCTTTACTAAATTGTCTAAACATAGCAAAAATAACGACTGTGTCCTACAAGCCGTGGATAAAACAATTAACATTACTAACTTCAATGTTAAATCTTTCAACGAAATATATTTTACGGGAGATAACTTCCGTAAAAAATTAAAAACTTTAGATACGTCCCAAGTTTCACTATATCTAGGTTCTGAAGGTCGCAAATTATATACACCTTTCAAAAATCTGATGATTGTAGCGTTAGAGCCAACTGTCACTCCATTAAACATTATTCCTAAGGCTGACAAAGCAGATCTTGCACAATTTATCGTACTATAACTTAATCCTTTATCAAAAAGCACTGTTAAAAAATCTAAGACTTCATTTAAAGCTGGTTGAAGTGTATCAATTTTCCTTTTACTACAGAAACGGAACCATTGCTTGACATAAGTTGAGTATTGCTTTTTCGTACTGTCTCGCCAAGATGACAAAATGATTTTGGAAGCCTTGTCTAAAATGCCTTGGTTTTCCAAATTTTTCCTGATAACCGACAAGCAAGAAACTTTAACTGATTGTGAAGAGAATGAATCTTTTTCGTTCCTGGAATGGACAGCAGTCTTTTCTTTCGAGGCAACATTTTTGGAAAATCTATCAACATTTCTAGTAGTACTGGGTACCATGTCTGAGTCGGCCATAATGGTACAATCATCAGAACCTCTGCACTGTCTTTCTGAACTTTCTGTAGACATCTACTAATTAGAGAAAAAGGGGGAAAAAGATAATAAAATACCTCATCAGACCATAAAATACTAAAAGCATTTACAAATACTGCCTCAGGGTCAGGTTTCCACGACGAGAAACTCTCAACTTGACAATTTATTCTAGAGGCAAATAAATCATGGCCTGGAGTACCCCAAATGTCCACTAATTTATGGAAAACTTGTTTATCAAGCATCCACTCTAAATGATCATCAATTTTTCTTGATTCAACATCTGCAGCATTATATTTACCAGGAATATGTTCTACTGAAATCCATATATTTCTCTCAATACACCAGACCCACAAAAGTTTGGTTATTTCATTCATTTGCATGGATTTTATACCACCCATATTGTTAACATATGCAATTGCACTAGAATTGTCACAAAAAATCTTCACATGTATATCTGAAAATTTTTTACAAAAAGCCTTCAGAGTATAAGAAATGGCTAACAATTCCAGAACATTGATGTGATAAGTTTGCTCAACATCATTCCATCGTCCTTGAATTTTTTGGTCTTTAAATAAAGCACCCCAGCCTTTTAATGAGGCGTCAGTTGTCATAGAAAAATCTGGATTTTTCCTATTAATGACTCTTTTCTGACAATGTAAGTTTTCAACCCACCATTTTAAATCTGCTTTCATGGCAGATGTTATAGTCATATTTTGATCAAAATTTCCAAATGACAATTTTAAAGCCTGAATCTTTTCAATTTCTAAATTTCTGTAATATAAATGACCAAAATCCACAGCTGAGAGAGTGGATATTAACAAGCCTATAACATGGGCAACTAATCTTATACTAGCTGTATTATTCTTGATCAGATTCTGACATTCTAATACAATTTTTTCTACTTTTTCTTTTGGCAACACAACTGTCATAGATACAGAATCAATAATATTGCCTAAAAAAACAATTTGTTTTGCAGGCTTGAAAACAGATTTTCTTTCATGAATTATAAAACCAAGCCACTCCATTAAATCATTAGTATTTTGTACATTTTCTATGCACTCATCTTCAGTATCTCCAAGCAAAAGAGAGTCATCAATATAAGCTACATTCATATAACCAAATTGCCGTAAAGTTGCAAAAACAGGCTTCATTAACTTTGTAAAGATTCTAGGTGCTGATAGCAAACCATTTGGTAAACAAGTATATTGAAAAATATTGTTTTTCCATATAAAACGTAATAGTTTCTGATGTTCCTCTGCTATAGGAACAGAATAATATGCATGACGCAAATCAATTGAACTGAAAAAACAATTTGGTTTCACCAATTTTAGAGCCATTTCAAAAGTATCCATCTTGAAATGATGGGGAATAATAAATTTATTTAACTCTTTTAAATTAAGAATCACTCTATGCTCATTTGTATTTTTCTTTGGAACTGTAAAAATTGGAGAGATATATTGATCTGTATCAAAATTAACTTCCACTATTACACCCAAATTTTTCAAATTTTCTATCTCATCATTTATAATTTTTTCTTGGCCTTTATCAAAAATTCTTTGATATGGTGTGAGACTTTGAGTGGGTATTGAATTATAAATAAATTCAAGGTGACAGTGTTCAACTGTATCCAAAATAAATTTATCAGAAGTAATTTTTTGCCAGTTTTCAACATAATTTTTCAATCTACCTGCTGTAAAAGTTTTGATATCAGAGACACCTGCTAAACTTACATGTTTAGCATAATTTACTTCCTCAGGAAACTTGGAACACCTCTCAAGTTTTTTGAAGCACCTTGATCATTTGAATACTGGCCTCTACCACCGTAACCACGGCCACGACCACCTCTGTATCCACCACGACGAGAGCCTACACGGCCTCTACCAAAACCTCGTCCTCTACCAAAACTACCTCCTCGAGAAAAAACATTTCCTCTACCTCTAGCATAATTGTTATTATTTAAATTACGACCAAGTCTGTTCATATCTTGAATTTCTTTTGACTTTTGATGGACATTGTCACCATAAAGCATGTCAGTGAAAGGAATTGAGGGTGAACTCAAGTGATGATATTCAGGACTTAAATCAAATCTTTGATATTCCTTTCTCTTTACATTTGTCATCTTGTTATATTGTGACAGTAAAGCTAACGAATCAATCCCCAAATCTATGCAAGACTGCATTTCTTGTTGACAATCGTCACCCAAGTCAGGTTTTAGCTTACACAACATGTTTAACAATTTTGTAATGTTACAAGATGCTTTTACAACAGTTTCTTGATGCTGTTGTATAACTGAGTCAAAGGACCTAGTTTGAGGAGAGAGTAAATCCCAAATAAGCTGATTAACTCTAGTTCTTGTAAGAGAAACACAATTCTCTGGTCTAGCCACTGATTTCATCAGTTCATTGTATTTTTCATCAGAAATTCCCTCACGGAAAAATTCATTAACAGTATCAGCTAATGTGTCATCTACACTTGTATCTACATTATCTTTAGACCTGTAAGCTTGTGCAGCAGCTTTAAAAACATTTTCACCCTCTTTGTCAACAGTTTTTTGTTTTTTAGCTGGAGGTTCCGCAACCTCAGCATCTACAACATGATCATTATTGTCATGATTATTATTTTCATCATAAGCTCCTTCAGGGTCTGCACCCTGGCTCTCATCGTAACCCTCAGGCTCAGCAAAATACAACTCGTCTACCATAGACTTGAGAGACACGAAATCAGTTTTTTGTGAACTCTGTTCTTGCTGTATATTTTTCAGGACTGAAAAAACATCAGCTAAAGTGGGCTCCTTGCTAGCTTCGCTAGTATTTTGACTAAAAACTTTTTGTCGTGAAGTAACAGTTCCGGCCTCGCCAGAGCTGACAATCTTTGCCCCATTACTACTACTTGTATCGTCATTCTTGGAACGAGAATCATCACAGGATGCTTTTCTTTTAGGGTTTTTTCCTTTTGCCTCATTTGAAGCACTAGAACCTTTCTTCAAAGATTTTACATCAGTTTTAGAGAGCATGGCGTCCGCCATTGTTACTAAAAAATATCAACTGCCGTAAATCGGTCTAATTACCGTAAATTTACAGCAGAGAAAAATAAATAAATAATAAACCCCTCGAGTTTATTTACTTGATTAAGCAATAAATAATAACTACCTCGTAGTTATAGTAATAAAATATTTCATTATAGAAGCTACAAATACAGACTACGTCTGCCTTCTATGAAATAAAGCTACGAACTGAAGCTACACATGCGCACGAACATCTCATCTGGTCCCGGAAACGGGATGACGTAGTTAAATTCAAAATGAACCAAACTTAATATAACTTTATATTAATGCTAACTGGCATGTATAGATAAGACTTTTGACTTTGCAATTTCCAAAATGGTCGCCATTGCAATGGAAACAGCAAAAATGTGAAAATTTCAAAATTCTCCAAATGTTCTGAAAATTTACAGAAAGATGTATTGCCATGCATATATGTGCATTCACTGTTTAAAATTTTTGAAATGGCTGCCACTTAGTGGCAATGGGGGGAAGGGTGACATCCGCTATTGCTTGCAATGGCAAATCTAGTTTTCATTGCCATTTTCCTGGCAGAAGTTGAATTATTCAATAAATAAGAGACTATGTAGCTATTAGTCTTTCATCAAATGATAGTGAATGGCTAGTCAACCTTGTGTGTTAGTACAATTTTCGTTAGTCCAAAACGTATTTCTGTTAAAGGGGCATTAGCTGTCAAATTCATGTTCACCGATTTGACTCAATTTTTCCTATTTGATTTATAACATACTTAAACGTATATCCCAATTACAAAAAATCTAAAATATACAATTAAAAATGCATGGACTCGATAATATGTATCAACATTTTGTGTGTATTTTTGTCTAGAAGTCATCTTATTAACCATTGAGATGACCTCCAAAAACTGCCGACGGTCAGATAACCTAATATAAACATAAGTATAAATGTAAATAAATAGCCACCACAAGCAATTGGATTTTTTTAAAGTCTGATTTCATATTGTAGGTTAAAAAGTATGCATGTTTCTCATCGTTTATACCTGTATAAGAATGATTTTTTTGGTGGATCGAATGAGTCGACCAAATGGTTTATCCTTGTTTCACTGTCATTGTTGACATTCTTTTCCTTGTAATAGCTGATAACATGCATAACCCATCTCCAGCTAAGGGGTTAAATGAAAGATCACATGAATACAGATTCAATAAGGTCGAATTATTCACTTGCAAGTGAATTATTCATCAGCAATGTTTCTTAGCTTATTTTGACCAATTAGAACCAAATTGGCTGTAATAAAAGCTAATTATTATTTCACCATTTCACTTTCATTTATGATTGAACAAAACAAATCATTTTTTTTTTTTTATATCTCACAGCTTATGCCCCTATAAGATGTGCAATCTTTAACAATCTATTATCAAAAATTGTTGTCAAGCCTGATCAAAATCAAGAAAATAGTAATCATATCATACCTTCTCCATGGAATGTCCTTGGATGCATAGAATGTGCTAACTGTATTGACCTCATCAGATACTCTTTAGCTTTGTACTTGAGCTTCAGTATTTTGTCATATACTCTGCCCATCCTACTGAGTGCAATAGCCTCCAATTCTACCTCCGTCACCTCTCTGGTACGTAGAATGGCTTGTTTGTACCAGTCAATCATCTCATACACCATGTCCATGTTAAGCTTTTCCTCATCTAATAAAACTTTCCTAAATAAACCATCCCCTGAAAGTTCAACATGTTCAATTACACCTGCATTACTTTATCAATATTGTCATCAGCTTTAAGGTGTTTACCTCATACTATATGAATGATAGTTACTTTTAACACTTCATTAAAATCTAATGAAATCAATTCATGGTCAATGATTATCATTCAAGTTAACAAGAAAAATTAACAAGTGGGATATCAAAAGATTCACACATTTACCAGTTTTTAGCATTTAACTAATCTTGAAATAAATTGCTTCGCCGAGAGCAGCTGGATACAACAGCAGAGGTCCAACCCTGAATAGTTGGGGCAAAAATGGATACAATATTCTCGCTTGATACAGGTCTGAATTTGGATTGTAATTCAATATTTAACACATAATAGGTTTCTGACACAGAATAACTGTAGTCAAAGAACTTAAAATTGGTTATATGATTTGAATTTATATTCAAATTTTTGCCTTTTGTGCAATACACGATGCTGTTGGGAATTGACCTCCCCCCCTTTTTTTCAAAAAAAATAAAAAATTTGAAGGATTTTCTTTTTGATTTCTGAAATCTTGAGAAAAAATTGTAACTTCTAATAATGAATTGACAGCTAATCACCTCAAGACAATACAAAAATTCTTTATACATAATTTAAAAGCAGTGTAAGGCCAAGGGAGGTGATTCAAAGTTGTATTTGAATTACCTCCCTTACACTGTAATTTGTACTTAATTGTCCATTAACCAGAACACACTTGTTTTTTTCTCACTTTTTTGCCCCTAATTCCTAAACGGTTTGAGCCATAACCCCCCAAAGCCAATCCTAACCATTCCTTTGTGGTATGGAAACTTAATGTATAATTTAAGAGAGATCCATACACTGTTCCACAAGTTATTGTCATGAAACAAGAAAAATGCTTATTTGGGCCCCTTTTTGGCCCCTAATTCCTAAACTGTTGGGACCATAACCCTCAAAATCAATCCCAACCGTTCTTTTGTGGTTATAAACCTTATGTTTAAATTTCATAGATTCTGTTTACTAATATTAAAGTTATTGTCCGGAAACCAAATATCTTCTGACGACGAAGTGATACCAATATACGACCGCAAAATTTTTGCGGTCGTATAAAATGACTAGCAATTCAAAACGAAAGTGCTTGTCGTTGGTTCATGTCTGTCATATTAATTTTTTCGTGAATTGTTTTGTGATAAATTTGGCTGTTAGTTTTTTCCATTGAATTGTTTGATATTTTTCATAGCAGACTATATTGTATCGTTTTTCTCATTGTCATTGCCTATAATTGCTTACATTCACTTCATTTGAACTTTGATGGATAGTTGACTGATTTGGCAATCATACCACATCTCCTTATTTTCATATTGATAATATCTAAATAATGATAACTTCACTTCACTATTTCGTTTGAACTACCAAAGGTAGCAATCAACCTTTGAAGATATAGATATCAAGTCAGTACCATAGGGTTTTGATTGCATTTTATGCAATCTTTACCCAAAAACTTTTTCCTTCCGATTTGTAAGGATCTAAATCAAGGTTGTCAATGGTCAAAAGCAATAGTGACATACTAGCTTTAATACATGTATATGATGCAAAGCAGATAAGTGAAAGTCAAAAGTTTTATTCAAAGTCAATGTGTATTATTTACAAATAACATTTAAATGGACAAAAATTACAAAAATTACAGGTCCTGCCACAACTTAAATTTGCAAATTTCTCAGGAATTGACCATGCTACTTCCCATTAAAAAAAAAATAACAAAAGGGCACAGCACACATTGAAATGTCTCCCATGTTTTAAATTTGATAATCATTATTGGTTTTATATTAAGATTCAATTTGTAACTTATGTACCTTGTAAATGTTTCTTACCTATCTCTCTAGCCTGTATTGACTCAGCCATGCAAGAATGCATGAAAACATCCTCTTCTAAAATTCTTGCCTCAGCCTCAATTACTGTTACTCCTTTTCCAATCCTATTGGTTTCATTTAGAGGAAAAAATGTTTCCTTTAAAACATAAATAGCTTTCTTATAGTCACTGTTCTGTAAAGAATAAACAGCTTGATGAAAAAGACAATTGCCTATTTCCATATAAATGTAACATTTAACATGGTCAATTTTAACACTTCCTATGGTATCATTGTAAATATTTAATCTTTCTTCTATATTTAGTTCTGCTATTTTCAATTTAAAACTCTCTAAACATGCAGTTGCATTTGCAAATACACCATCACGCCAACTCTGTGGCTTGACATCATTGATTGAGTCTCTCCAAGAGAAAGAAAAATATTTAAATGCTTCTTTAAAGAAATATGTCATGGTTGATAGTTTGTCCTCCAATTCAGCTATTCGCCAAGATACCATGCCAAGATTTTTGGAAGCTGAAATAAAACAAAATTTCATAGATATCAGTAAAGCACATATACAATCAAAGCCCCAGAGTGCTATAAAAGCAATTGCTGCTAAGTCCATGATCTTGTGATTTATACTAGTTTACATCTCTATATAAAAGAATAATACCATGTACAGCAGACAGCAGACTATAAATTAATCAAATACAGAAAAGACTATTGACAATTGATTTTAACTACCTCCTTATGAAACTGATAGATTACATAAAAGCAATTGCTTTAAAAATGTAAATTAAAGCAAAATTTATATGTACTAAGGTTAAATATATATAGAGAAAATATATCTTAAATGTACATGATTTATTTGCTTGTATCTGTTGTTGTACAAATATTTGAACAAAACTTTAGGTGTTGATGATCGATGTACTATTTTTTTTTTTTCAAATTGACCCAACACGAATGTCAAGGTCATATTTTTAATTTTGCCTTTTGTTAGTGTGTGCATCTCCTCTCAAACTGTAAAAGCTAGGTACAAAAGAACTGATGCAAAATGTTTGGGATTTTGAAAGAAAGTAATGGTACATTCGATCCGAATTGATCTGATGACATCTTACAGGAGTTATAGCCCCTGAAATGTTTAAATTTAAGGTTGATGATTATATCTTCAAACTGGTACATGATAAAGCCATGGGGTCTTTTGTAAGTGTTAGGTGACATATGAATTTGAAAAACATCAACTGGAAGCTAGTGACCTTGTGCAAACCGGATGTAGCAATTTTGCACTAAGTCAAGGGAAAAGAACTAACAAAACTATATCTTTTTTGGAATCAACATACAATAACTAATAAAATAACACCAGAAATGACTTTTTGTAAACTAGAAGTAGTTAATTACCTCCCTTATTTGAAACAAAAGAACATAGAAACCATATATTTTTGGAATCTGTGTAAAGTAAGCTATCTTATGGCACCCAACGTGACCTTCTGTAAACCAGAAGTGGCTGATTATCTCCCTTATTACACGTGAAAGTACATAGAAACCATACATTTTTGAAATGAGTGTAAAATTGGTGTTTTTAATTAATTTTTTTTTCTTCAATGGATCTCATCATGAAGTTCTTGGAACTGTTGTTCAAATGTTTTTGAGAGTGAAACTGTCATGAACGTTTGTATATCGGTTTATGGTTGCAATTCTTCAACTGAACTCCAAGTACACTAGTTTTAGCCGGCAATTTTTCATTATCATTCATGGTTTTAAAAACACTTTTAAATATAGTGCAAATTAGACCCAGATGATTTGGGGACATGCTATAGGAAGAGCTTTTTCTGATTACAGAAATTGTGGATATATATGCTAAAAAAAAGAGCTTTTTTCCAATCACATGGAAAAATTGCCATTTGGGCCATATATGACTATATTTTAGAAGTTATCTTGTTTGTCATTTTTGCTTATTTAAGTTTCTATCTATCTATCTATTATAGTTTTTTAAGATATTAGGCAAAAAACGCAGAAATTGGTAAAAAACGTCTTTAAAGGACAAAAATTCCAATGTAGATCTTGTCTTGCTGATTATTTTTGTTATTTCAATGATATTTTGCAAAAACTTGAAAAATAAATCCTAAAAAATGTCATCACAGGGCAATAACTCCAATTAAGAGTCGTTGGACAATTTTAGCAATGTTGACTTATTTGTGGATCTTGTCTTGCTGATCATTTTTGCAATTTCAAGTTTCTCTTCATCTTTTATAGTTTTAAAAATAATTGTCAAAAATAAAAAATAATTGTCAAAAATAATTGTCAAAAATAATTTTGTAACAACAGAAATATGTCTTGACTTTTTGTTATTTTGATAGTAAAATGCAAATGTTATAATTAGAATAGAATAGCAATACTTTAACATACATGTAAATTAATATGCAAAATATTCAAAGTCAATGAACCATGACTGAAGGTACAGGGCAAAACAATCTCCAAACAGGAAGTTGTTTAAATGCAAATCACAGTTGATGAATTTTGTAAAGGATACAGAACCATTACGAACTTTCAGAATAATAAAATAATTGTAGAATTTTAATTTATGTTGGTAAATTAGTGCTGAAATGAATATTAATCTGTGCTAATTTTATTTCTTGTTTGTTGGTACTCCATCGTTTGCTAACTTATTTATTATGCAACAGTGTATTCATTATCCTGTAATCAACCAGGACTGGAGTTTGTCTCCGAAAAAAAAATCATTTTCAATGGATGCATTTTACCAAATTTCAAGTTAGAATTTTTCCAGAAAGTCCCTGTGTGTTATGCATAAGTAGTAACTTTTTTTCTCAAGTCTCAAGGGCCAAAAAGGGGTTGGGTGTGTTCTATAAGTTTTTCAGTACAAGAGATATGAGCCAGACATGAACTGGATAAGATTTTACCATCATAGTGGTCAAAGATCAGTCAAGGTCAGTGTGACCTGACTTGAGTATGTGACACATCACCCAGCAACTGCAGTACAAAAGTTATGAGCCGAACAGGAAAAGGGACAGACGGACAGACAGAGATGAATGAACAGACATGATTATTCCTATAATAACCCCCAAACACTTTGTTTGAGGATATAACAACAAATGAAATTGCATAACAAGAGCTTCTTCTATCTAATTATATAATTAAAAGAACAGAGTTCCAATGTCCCCCATGTTGCACATACTATTTAATCTTAACTTTTATAAAGATCTTGGAGAAATGAAAGCTTGAGAGCAAATGCAATGCAATTTCCAATATAATTAATATTTCCAAAGGGGAATAACTGTTAAAAAATATCTGATCTGAACTGATTTTTGAATTTGTCCAAGACATTGCTAACATAAGTTTGATATTAATAGGGGAAAAAATGTACATGTGAGGCGGTTGACATACAATGCAATTTTCCCTATACTAATATTTCCAAGAGGCACAACTCTTGTCTGAGACATTGCTTATATAAACCTATGATATAAGTTTCATAAAAATTTGGCAAGAATTGTACATATGAGAGGACTTACAATGCAATTTTCCATATAATTAATATTTCTAAAGGGCATTACTCTTTTAAAAAAGGTTGATCAGCACTGAATTTCGAACTTGTCTGAGATATTGCTGATAGAAACCTATGATATAAGTTTCATTAAATTCTGGCAAGAATTGTACACATGAGAGCGCTAACAATGCAATTTTCTATTTAATTGATATTTCCAATGGCATAACTCTTTTTAAAATTGTTGATCGGCACTGATTTTCAAACTTGTCTGATCCAATGCTGATATGAACTTATTTTTTAAATTTTATGAAAATCTGGCCAGAATTGTACACGTGAGAGCGCTGACAAGGCCGGACAAACAGACGCACTGATGGACACCCAGAATTTCTATGTCCCCCGCATCACTTTGCGAGCAGGACAATTAGTCCTATTTGGTATATATATATATATGTACATTTCGCCTTGTACTACTTCAAATTATTATCTTGTCAGTTGAATTTTTGATGTCCAATAAAAATAATTCCATAAAAATATTTTGTGAAAAGGCATAGACAAACAAGGGTTGTATTTTTTAATTACATTTTCAACAGTAAATCAGTCATCCCTTCAGCATTAACTACCAGAAGTGAACCATTCAACTACATGGATGGATTGGTTTTTACATCTACAGACCTCTACGTTATAAATTATTAACAAATGTCAAAACTATCAATTTGCTTATAATCTAATGAGGAGACATGGTGATACGATATTAATGACTTTACATTCTTAATTTTTTTAGTTTTTTATTTAATTATTGCAAAACAATGAGTCTTGCAAAAATAAAAAAAAATCACATCCTAAATTTTGATATCATTATTCACTGTTATTTGTATGAAACATTTTCCAAGTTACAAAAAATAAAAGCATGCACAAATTTCTGAATCTATATAGTATTTGCATTAGGTATAAATGTGACATTTTAATACCATGCTGTTCTGTTCAATTTAATACTGCCCCTGTATTCCTTTATTCATATTTACCAGACACTTTATCTGCTTCTGTTCTGCTGAAATTCAAAGCTTTGTAATAGTGTCCTGAGGCTTTCTTCAGGCGATCTTTCTGAATAAATGGACTCAGGTTTTTGGAGGCTGTGACATAAATTCTATTACCCAATGTCCTCCAATGTTCTGATGAATTACCTGTTACATTTGAAGTTCCTGAAAAATAAAGCATGAAGCTATACAGAAAGTTAAAACAAATATGAAAAGATATTTTTAAGAAGCATTTGAAAAAAGGAAATATATTTTCTACATGATGAGAATATTTATTGTTTCAATCAAAGTATCTTGTTTCTTGAATAATTAACTTTTTCTATGTATATTTCTTAAGAAAAGGACATCATATAATTTTCTGACTCTAACTTAGAAGGGTAAAAATTCACTGAAAGCCATGAACTGGCGCCAGTCATTTTCACTGGTTTGATTTACGTTACAAATAAGACTGCACATGGTATAACTTTAATGCTAGGATATCGCACTATCATTTTATCGAGAGAAGGTACTTTTATCTCTGGCAGCAAAGCAGCTTGAAGAAGTCATGAGAATCACATGAAAGGTGTACTATATCAACATTTCAGGGAGAAAAGAAGGAGATGGAATGGAAGGTGCATGTCATAACAGTCAATTTAGCATAAACAAGACATACTGTAAATCCTTATACTTTAATCATGTTCATTTGACATCTATGATGTCTCAGATACCAGAGAACCTGATATGCTTGCTTAGTTGAAGACCGTACTGTGACCTATAATGGTTTACTTTTATAAATTTTGACTTGGATGGAGAGTTGTCTCATTGGCACTCATACCACATCTTCTTATATCTATTAGTAGTCTTCACAAATCTATTAGTTTGGTATTAAACATGTTTTAAGTAATACATGTACCTGTATTGGGATCTTATGACATATTTTACATGATATTTTATTCAATTCTTATCTATCATGTCTATAGAGCAATGTTTTGACTTGCATACATCCCCAAAATCTTATAAACTATTCTTCAATACCAACAGTCAAATGTATACTTGATCTCTTCATGTGAAAATCTAGAGACACAGCCCCACTTTGGTTTTAACTTATTGTCTTCAGTCAATGAAGGAGGATTTTACTTTAAGCTTAAGTCAAATGAGAATATTCTGTCTGCTGGCCAGTTTACATTAATGTGTGACTGTTCATCTCTGCATCTACATGTTTATAAAACATTGTTCTTATTTTTAGGTATATAGTTATCTCAGTAATATTCATGTACGGAGCAGTCCCCTTATTACTATGAGTGCTATGGGTTTTGTTTGATTGTTTGTTGTTTTTTTTTATTGGAGAGGGGGAGGGGTTAATTAGATGCAGAACCAAAATTGCTGCAGTGGGGATCTTGGAAAGATTAACTTGAGGCAGTCAAGAGTCTGTGTAACTCACCTGGATCTATGAGCAACTTCAACAATGCCCCCTCTCTCAGAATTATAAATATATAATAAAGGACTTTTTGTTTTTGATACTGACTTTATCACTGTAAAATATCAGGTGAGCCCGAAGGTCGAGCTGGATATTTTATAGTGATAAAGTCAGTATCAATAGAGAAAATAACAAACGAACTATTTTATCGCGTCAAATCACATTGACGTCACAGACTGTATTATGTCATTTGAAATTTTGTCACAGTGCAGTAAACTTCTCTTGCACAAAGTATTGAAGATGTGTTTCATTAATTCTACTTTGAACATGCCTTTAACAATACAGAATATCATGGTAACTTACTGGTAAGTCAAATTTATCTTGTAGTTCGATGGATAATTTGCTTAAAAATTACTGTGTCGTTATACGCTAAGCATTCTTCCTTGTGCAATGCACTCATGCATGTCAATTGCGAACGGACACAATAATTTTTTTTATCACAACCATTCCACTGATACTGACATTATCAGCACGTATACATTAAAGGAAAAATGCACAAATTACCGATAAACTTGAATATAATTTATGATCATAAAATCTTTTTTGTAGATTCTGTATTGATGACCATCATTGTATTTTACAGTTTATATCAACTCTAGATTTTGTAAATTGTTTATTCCCTCAATTCAAAGTTCAAAGAAACTGTCAACCATTACACGTATTAATTATCAGAAGAAAACTACATAGAAAAAGAAAAAACAAGAATGTGTCCATAGTACATGGATGCCCCACTCGCAGTATCATTTTCTATGTTCAGTGGACCGTGAAATTGGGGTCAAAACCCCAATTTGGCATTAAAATTAAAAAGATCATATCATAGGGAACATGTGTACTAAGTTTCAAGTTGATAGGACTTCAACTTCATCAAAAACTACCTTGACCAAAAACTTTAACCTGAAGCAGGACAGACGGAAGAATGGATGCACAGACTGAAAAACATAATGCCCCTAGGTGGGGCATAAAAATCAAGTTAAAGTCTTAAGCACGTGGTTACTAAATTACACGACTGGCTAGTAGATTTTTAAATGCATCTGCCCATGGGGCTACTTCATTTTTGCAAGTAGTTTCACTGAAAATTGGGCAAATTATATTTTAACCTGTATTATTCTTTACAGTGATGTTCTTTGTTCCACAGTAGCTAAGTAATGCAAAAGAAAGACAGAAACTCAAAGACATCTTAGTCCACAAATTGTCATGTCAAAATCTAACAAAATATTACATTACTTGTCTTTATCAGTAAAACATATTGATATTGGATGTTGTTATAATGTAAACACTTTACTTCAGATCTAGAGCCTGTAGAGGGTAATTTTTTCTCAATTTTGATGGGCCAGTAAAAATCTGGAAGGGCAATTGAATTTAGAAGTGTTAGCCCAGTTGGCCATTTAAAAAATATTATTTCTATCCCTGTTGAAATGATAAGAGAAACCAGTTGAACATGAAACAGAGGAAAGCAACAATAACAGGACTGCTACCATACAGTGGTACAATTATCATGATTATGCAGTCTCAGTTTTCCATGGAAATAAATTTACACATTGTGATATATACATATTTATTTAATATTGCTGCCGGTTCCATACATGTATATTGTCGTAGGCATGTAAAAGAACAGGGTACCAGCTTCTAATGAAACCACTGCTACATGTTTTATGTACTTTATCATATTTATTTTTTTCAGATACGCAAAAACACATTTTGCAAAAAAATCATCATTAAAAGGTCAATAACTACTTTAGGAGTCATCGAATGGCATTTTTGTAGACTGATAGATCATGTAGTGCTGACCATTTTTGCTATTAAAAGTTTCTACCTATGCAACTATTATAGTTTTTGAGATAATAGCATGAATAGGCAAAAACAAGAAAATTAGTGTAAGGAGAATTTGACATTGGAGCATTTTTGCCGTCTGACTTTTATACATTATAACCATTATATATAATTATTTTCAAATATTAGACTAGTAATGCACTTTACCCTAATGTTCTATTTGTGTGGCCATCTTTGTTGATTGACTTGATTAAAACTACACAAACTTTATACCAGGTCTAGATATCCTAAGGACAAATGAAGGATAATTCATCCGAAGTTTGGTTGAAATTGGTTTTGTAGTATCTTCAGGGAAGATCTGTGAAAAAGCTTATTATGAGTGATTGAAAAAGCTTTTTAGGTCAGATGAGCTTAAAAAAAGACTTTAAAGAGCCTGTGTCACTCACTTGGATCAGTGTGCATCTTCAACATTGGCAACTCTCAAACATTATAGAATATGTATAAAAATCTCTGTTCAGTAGATTTTGTATTGATGATCACTTGTCCTGGTTACAATTTTTCTCATCTACATTGTACTAAAGTTTTAGCCCAAAATGCAAAACTGGGTAGAAATCAGCATTAAAGGACAATTACTGCTATCAGAAGTGGACTCATAATTTTGGCTATATTGAACTATTTCTTTTGGCTATATTGAACTATTTCATGGTGACTTGACAAGAAAAATCTAAATTTTTAAGTGACCAAGGACTAATATTGTCAACAGTAAATGAAATAATTTATCTGTGCCTATGTAACTCTTTGGATTTAAAATTCAAAACAATTCAAACAAGGAACCAAGGATTGTTTTAGTTATCATTTAACGATAATTTGTCAACCTCTGACAATGAAAAATCATGTCATGACATGACATGACATGTCAAAAAGCGTGTGAAAACGCGTGATGTAGATTGTGGACTTTTTAAAATGAACATTATACAAATTTGTAAATATAAAAAAAAACAATATTCTACTGTATGTAAACTTTTATTGCATTCAACAGTGGCCTATTTTTGCTGCTTTCAAAACAACACTACTAAGCAAATATTCAAAATAACTGCCAGTTTGGTTACATTTACATGATAACAAGGCACACAATATATCATTGAGTTCTGATCTGAATTCAGTGTAAATTTCTTTATAATTGAAAATGCTCTCTCACAGTCAGAATTGTTATTTGGCAAAACTAAAATAGCAAGCTTTGAAAGAATGTCATGACGTTTTTTTTTTGCCATTAAAAATGTCATCTTCGTCTGCCGTTGCTTCCCACAAATTATATATGTTGCTATTGTCTGGTCAAAACTGGGTAGTTCATCAGAAGACAGCTGGTACTCTGAGAACTGATCCAACAGTTCTGTGATATTCCCTTCCCATATGGCCTGTGGAAATCTGTTGGCTAGATTTGAAACTGAAAAAGAAAAATATCTTATATTTTGAATACCATTGAATGTTTTATCAAATAGTTACATCCTCACATACATGTTGTTATGATTGCAAATGATTGCAAATGATTGATAATGTTTGCAGATGATCCAATATAAATATGAGTGTAACATAGGGTGCACAATGCATTGTTCGGCCCTCGATCACTTTCTTTTGATTCATTTTAACATGGACTCCCTACTTTTTTGGTACGTACACACGTATTGTTTTTGCTTAGCACTCTGCTCTTTAGACGACAGTACAGGTCCAGAACTTGACCTCTTTCTGCTGGACATTTCCCCAAAGTGAATTTGAGAGAAAGAAGTCACAAAATCTTAAAACCTACCTACAAACTTACCTGAAGTGAAGGGCTTTTGTTGTTCATCCATATCGTAAATAAACAATGGCGACTCAACAGTTACTTCAAAATACTCGGTATTTATCGTCTATTAATGAAATCACCCATGAATCGCGATCTCAC